AAATCTATGACGTAATTTTGCTGGCCTGGGCCAACTGTGACAGGTAGCGCGACGAATTAGCGCGGGCAAGCCTGGGCCAACTGTGACAGGTAGCGCGACCAATTAGCGCGGGCAAGCCTGGTGTATTTAGATTGTTTTTTTCGGGTGATTAAAACCTGCTCTTGCGATAGCTCAGTTGGTAGAGCGGAGGACTGTAGTTCCTTAGCTCGTTGGTTCAAGCCCAGCTCGCAAGATTTAAAAACAGGCGTTCTTTTTCGCGGAAAAATGTATATGTATTTCGGAGCCTAATTCAAAATAACCGGAAACTTTGAAAGCTTACAGCGAAGCATATAATCTAAATAGCTCGGAGTTTGGCTCGAAGCCGGTCCGTTCGAAGCATAGTCTTTAGTTGACAACGCTTGGTTCATGTCTACACGGTAAAGTTACTACCTCTTCGACTACGAAAAATGGTACATTTTGATTCTGTGGGAAAAACTTTTAGAACAGTTGTAATTTATTTTGTCATAAAAAATAATCAAATGTGCGGTTGCTATATACGTTGTTATGTGTTGTCGGTGCATTTCAATTGTTTTAATTCTTAGTATGCTTCAATCCTGGTGATTGTAGAACTGGCCTGGTCAGAAACGTAGCCAAGGCAAAAAACGCAAAAACCTACCATTCTGTAATACAAATCTATTCAAAAGTGTAGCCCGGAAGTCGGGTAGCGGCCGGTGACTTCCGTCTTCACTTTTGCTTACAATAGATGCGCTACCCAGCTTGTTTCAGGTCAGTGGACGACTATCTCAAAAAAAAGTGCAAAACAGGCATGGGAAAAAGATGCGAAAAAACGGCGCAAGGCGCGAAAAGTAGGCACAAAAAGAAGGCGCGAAAAGAAGGCGCGAAAAGAAGGCGCGAAAAGAAGGAGCGAAAATAAGGAGCGAAAATAAGGAGCGAAAATAAGGAGCGAAAAGAATTGCTGAAGTCAAACTCGAAGCAAACGGTTAATAATTTTCTGAAGAAACAGCCCAAGCCTGAACTACCAAGCGAAGGTCAAGCCCTTCCACGCAGCCATATATCAAAATCTCGGACTAATTGTGAAAATCAACTCAACAGCTATCGATTGGCAAATAAGGACAAATTTGAAATACAGAATGCCCGGCAAGTTAAAAAGCAAGTTAAAAATCAAGAGAAAACTGAAAGAAAATTAAAATGGATTCAAAATAATGAACTTGCAAATGCCAAGTACAAACTCCATGAAGCAAAACAAGCAAGAGATTCCTTAGAACAGCTGTTAAAATCCTCAAAAATGACCTTACGCAATCTCTAAGCACTAAAGAAGACAAAGAAGATCACCGTCCATGGCAAGTCACTAAACCGAAGTCAACAATAAACATTCGAAGTAAGAACAAAAGCAATTCAAACTCGCCAACAACCGAATAGCCGCCATTGTCGACAACAAACCAGTTTTCTAAGATAGATGATCAACTGACACCTACGCCTATTCTGATAAACATGAACAACCAGTGCGGTTGATTTTAAAAGCGATGAGAGATCCAATATTAAAACGAAACGAGCAAATAGTTTAAATAAATCTGCAGACGATAAAGAACATGACAACCCGAAATTTAACACTCACCAAATAACACCACTGTTGTTCTGCTGAAGAATCTTCGACAGCAATCAATTGGCAAAGCTACAAAGAGCAAAGTACAAGTGAAGTGTTTTCCAGGAGCTAGGCTACAAGATATGAAATATTATAGTGTACCGGTCCTGTCTGCCAAGCCCAAGCATATTATTGTACACTGTGGTACAAATTGATCTAAAAAATAAGAAACCAGAAGAAATAGTAAAAGAAACAAAAGGAAAGTCCTGAATCTGATATCACTGTTTTCTCGGTAATACACAGAAAAGACAACCAAGGTAGTATAGTTGACGAGATGAACAACCTTTTGAAAACTTCATGTATAGAAAATAATTTTATATTTTCATTGCATCAAAATATTAATTTAAATTGTCTTAATTGTTCTGGTCACCATTTAAATTAACTTAGTGACTGTACGAAAGCGAAAAATATTATAGAAGCTATAAAGAGTTTTTAGCCTAAGTATTACATGTCTTCCAAGCTGCAGTACCCAGAATGTGCCTTGAACCTTGAAGGTGCCTCCATGTGTTACAACATTCCGGAACTTGAGCTGCGATATAATAGGCCGTTTGCTGCGTCCTGATATCGTTCACTTTCATTAACCATGTCTTGGAACTGAAATATTTTTACGGGAACTAACACTTTCAAGCACGCTGAGTTCAAATTCGAAAACTTTCCGCGCCGTAAACCCGTAGTTTTCTCACAAAATGCTATTTTATTTTCTCTAATTTCACAACAAATTTTTTCATTGTTCCAGGACACGGATCGATGACGCCACACGATTATGTTACTCAAAACGACTAATTTATATTATTATACATTTAATATGTATTCTCGTTTCTAATTGGTCAGAAAGCACCGGCTAATTTTCAGTATTCGGCATTTATTACGTATTTTCCGCCGATGACGTCATCAGCGTCCAATAATTGTTTTTTGGATCGAACTTGCATCCAAAAAAAAAAATATTGGACTCTCTCGTGCCCAAACCCTTGCGCGGCCAAAAGCTTGAACCTATAAAGTATAAACGCGCGAAAAACAAACAAACAATGGCCTACAGCAGATTTGCTTCGCTGAATGAAAGTGGACTCTCCAAATTATTGGCAGATAAGGATAGTGAAAGCACGAAAAAAGCCACATAGGGGTAAATAGAAGTAGAAATAGAATATTTAGCTGACCTTTGACTTTGTGCAAGGTGTTTGATATTCAAATTGCACTTTTCCTACCTCATGGACAGGAATCGTTTTATACGTTTCTCGTGTCTTTAAATGTATAATAAACAATTATTGGATTCGGCTTTCGCATGATAGTCAAGAGTTATTCAGACCTTGGTCTATGTTATCTGCCTCAGCTTCGCTTCGGCAGATAACATTGACCTTGGTCTGAACAATTCTTGATATCATGCTCAGCCTCATCCAATAATTGCTTATTAAGCAGTCTTCCTTTTAACAAAAAAACGGTTTTGCCCGAATTATTTTGACATCGCTAGAAATCGCGGACATTTGGAATGCAGCATGCATTTTCGCCCAAGGCCCCACGTTAGCTCTGATATTCAATTTTATTAGGAATGCAGAAGGTTATCCAATTTTATTATTATTATTATTATTATTGTTGTTATTATTATTATATTATATTGATCATGTGGAACATTCCAAATTCGATGCTTCAAGTAGCCCCAAAGTTTTTGGATTGAAAAATTGAATACATATGTACCACTGGGATTAAGTTTGAAGGAGGAATATTAATGCAAGTCTATATATATTATTAGTGTAAAGTATTTAAGGACATGGATTTGAACTTATCTCGTTTCTGACGAAGGGGGACGATTAATATATATATATATATATATATATATATATATATATATATATATATATATATATATATATATATATATATATATATATATATATATATATATATATATGATCGCGTAAAGCGTGAAACTCAGAGTAGCGACGCAAACATTCAAACCTTGACTGAAGTAATTCCGCTCTACTTATTATGGTATTGAGCGCTCTTGTTCCTTACGTCAACTCATCGACTATTTTTTTGAATATAGTCTTCAGTATATATATATATATATATATATATATATATATATATATATATATATATATATATATATATATATATATTTTATGTGAATATTCCGTAAACTTAGCAGGTGCATGTATATATACGCTTCAATATATTAATGCTTCTATCTTGCTTCATTTTGTCATGATATATATTAAAACGTTGTCCAGCCAATTGGAAATAAGCTTGTGAGTTGGAAAATCATAGCATATTGTAGACAAATTTCCTAACAAAACGCATAAACATACTGTAGTTATTCTGAACGATATCTTTAATGTTGTAGTATTCTCAACGATATCATTGAACGCACTTTCAGAAAATCAAATCGACTCAGAAGCAAATTAGTCTCCTGCTCAAGTACTGAAAAATGAAAGATTCTCAGGAGTTTAGCACTATACGTCTATACATTATTTTTACACCTAGCTTAATTAGAACAGTATAATAGAACATTATTATCATTATTACATCGAGCAGAGACACGTTTATACGTGCTCTGTACATGTCAATAGTTCCATCGCTGAATTCGTATTTGAATCACAGTATTTCTTAATATTCTTAATATTGTTCATCACAAAAAGATTTTCATTATGATTCGTTCAAGCATTATTGTTATGTTATCGATTTGTGTCGCTTGTTGGTTTTATGGACAAGACTTCCTCTCGCTTGCTCGCCATTCGTGGCGATGTAAACAACGCATTAAGGTGGCTCAATACACTTTTAATTTAACGGAGAATGGGCACGAGTTATTGCTAAATCACGCGTGCGAATATCGCGCGAGGGAATTACGAGGAGTGGAAAATCCGCGCGTGGATTAAATGCCTAAAATTAAAAATTGTCGGGAAATTTAAAAATAAACAAACATGGCATTTAATTGGCATCGTTTCTTCGCAAATTTCCGCAATTTCCGTTTCAACAATACATCAGAAGTGTTGAAATATTATTTAACGAGGAAAAAGTCGTTCAATTGCAGTCATTTTATTAACGAGCGTAGCGGCAGGCACGTTCTAGCGTCAAAAATCGACAGCGATGATCGAGGCGAACGCGTACATTTCTGGCAAGCAACTGGATTTATAGTTACGGCTTTTTGCACCGTATTTTCGCTAAAAAAAATTCAAGCGGGGACAGATGACACGAATGAAGTTTCACGTACTCCATCAACGAACACACTTTGGCAAAACAGAAACGCTAGTGGGAAGTTTGCGAGAAGAAATATAAAAAAAAAAAAAAACTTTCTCGAAAGTAATGCCATTATTGGCAATGCAAAACGAAGATTAAACTTCGATGAAAACGCAAATGAAGATTTATGCTCACCATCAAAAAGAACAACACGCAGTACACAGGTGAGTGTTTAATAAATTACAGGTAATATCATTTGCTTGAAATCAACAATGACAATATTTTTACATTACAGACTTTGAACTAAGGGCAAGGCAAGGATTTTAGTTAAAGCAAATAAATTAATATCAACCATTTCTCCAAAAATTGTAGAGCCAAGTTGAAAATGTCTCCCACATTCCTCTTGGTTGCCGTATTGTTGATGTACAAGTATTGCAAAAGGGTCTTTCGACTTGCAGTTATTGTTCTAAAGGTTTGTGCTTTTATCAGACTAAGCTGATGTATACTTCCAAAATAAAATTTTCCTTCCATTGATCAACCTAAATCTCCCAGCTGCAGGATTTTTCTTGATATTCCATATTGATGTGCTATTGATTGCATTCCAGCATCTAGATAATATGTTGAAAAATTGGGTTAGAGTTACATTTATGTTACATTACAATTTAATATACTTATCTTATTTCAGGCCCATTGTCATTGAACAACATCATAAAGGAAGATATGGTTGGTGTTGCAAGCATCTTGTATATCAAATGCAATCTATGTGGCAAAATCAACAAGGTTAAAACATCTTCTGAACACAGAAGTGGACAACGTGGACGATTAACCTTCAACATTAATTCTAGAGCAGTACTTGGTTCACTTCAAGCTGGTATTGGTAATACCCACCTGAATAACCTATTTGCAACAATGAATGTACCAACGATGAACAACAGGACATTCAAGTCACGAGAACGAGAAGTTGGAAAAGCTGTCGAGGACTTGGCACAAAAAAGCTGCAAAACAAACATTGAAAGGGAAAAGGATATGGCTGAGGAAAACGGGGAAGTTGCAGATGAGAACGGCTTGGTTGGCATACCAGTATCTTATGATATGGGATGGCAGAAGCGGGGTAAAGGACACAATTCAATGACCGGACAGGGAGTAGCAATGGGATTAGGAACAGGTAATGTTTTGGCATATGCAACAAAGTGCAAATCATGTAGAGTGTGCGATCATGCAAAGAAAAAAGGCAAGCAGCCAAGGAGACATGACTGCAGAAATCATCATGTTGGTTCATCCAAAGCCATGGAACCAGCAGTTGCATGTGAACTGTGGAATTCGGCTCCCAAAGAAAAAGTAAAATTTTCAATTTATGTAGGTGATGATGATACCACTACACTTTGTCACTTAAACCAGAATGTACCATATGGAGTCGAGAAGTGGTCAGATATTGTCCATGCCAAACGTTCGCTTATATCAAGGTTGTACAATATTTCACTTCGTTCCAAGTTTGAAAATTCATCAGCCTTGAGTCAAAAAGTTATAAACTATTTGGGGAAGTGTTTTACATATAGTGTTGCACAAAATCGTGATGTAAACAACTTAAAATCTGCAATAAAAAATATTGTTCCACATGCATTTGGAGACCACAAAGGTTGCTGCTCATCGTGGTGTGGTTATAAAAAAGATCCCTTGACATACCGACATAAAGATTTACCGTACAATCGAGACTTGCAGGGAAATGAATTGAAAAGCATACTTACCAGTTTGTTTGATGAATATGCCACAGATACAGTAGCTCAAAAGCTTACACCATTTGCTAACTCGCAAAGAAGTGAATCCTTGAATAGTACCATAGGAAGCAAAAATCCAAAAATCCGTTATTATGGTGGGAGTGAGAGCAATGACTTTCGTGTTGCTTGCGCAGTTGCACAAAAGAATATCGGATTTAGTTACGTTGATAAAACACTAGATTCTCTTGGCATAGATCCAGGTGTCACTTGCAGCTTCCACAATTCTACAATGGACAAGAAACAACAATGTGATAAAAAAAGAAAATCTTCAAAGGAGTATAAGATCAGGAGACATCAGCTGCAATCTGAGAGGATCTCAAAAACTGCAAGGAAAGAGGCAAAAGAAGGAAAAACTTATGAAACAGGTATTGGGCTAAATCTGGAAAAGGAAACTACAGTTACAACTACAGGCAACAATACAGATGTTGATGTTGATAAAATTGTTATGGGCATAACAAATAATAAGCAATTATATGAAGACTTGATGAAACTAGTTCCACCTTTCACTGAAAGACCAGCAAAAGAATACCTAAGTCATGATCCTGATAAAACATACCAGTTTGTATTATTTGACATTGAAACAACATGCACTGGTAAACAGGCAGAGATCTGTCAACTATCGGCAATATGTCAAAATGGTGACACCTTCTCTTCATATATTCTGCCCAATAATTCTGTTGGATATTATGCATCGAAAGTCAATAATCTCACAGTAGAAACCATAAATGGGCAAAGAACATTGTGCAAAGATTTGAAACCAGTAAATTCAGTATCTCTTCAAATAGCACTACAAACATTTATAAAATTCCTACAAGATCAACAAAACTTAATTAGGCCTACCTGTTGTACAAATACAGTCGAAAATGAGAACCTCGTAACTGTCCTTGTTGGTCATAATGCTGCCACATTCGACGTTCCTACACTTCTTCGCAATGCCGGTAATAATTTCGAAGAACAACTGCACAGCATGAAAATTTGTTTTGGAGACAGCTTGCCGCTTATAAGATCATTGATATCCAATCAACATGCCCCACTAAAGCAATCGAACGGCCAATTCTGTAAAGCAAATCTTGCCAGTGTTTACAAATGTCTATTCGATCAAGATTTCGATGCACACGATGCTTTAGAAGACGTGATTGCACTAAAGAGAATCTTGTTCAGTCCAGAAATGAGCATTGATGTAAAAACAATAGTGGATCGCAGCCAGATATCTTCAGTTCGTGCCATGAAATCTGATATGGAATTCATCGATTTTCGCCATGATCGTTATCAAACTTTCGTTGGAAACCTTCACTGTCCAAACGAAGATCATAGTCCCATCTCACATGGTATGGCTCTGAAAATTGCAGGTAGTGGACTCTCCTACAGCGATCTTCACAACTTGTGGCAGAAATTTGGGGAAACTGGAGTCGTTGGAATACTGTTCATGCCGCCATACAACCCGAAGGACACGCGAAGTACACCATCGGACAAAAATCACCCACGAGTGACGAAGAGCAAAAGGATTCTATCGAATGTCGTGAAATACTTTCAGTCATGTAACGTTTCAAATATTTCCACCAGTAGTTAGGAAAAAATATAGAAATTCAAATATTTTCAATTAATTAAAACTTAAGTGAAACACAACCTTGCTATGTGCGTGAATTTAGCGTGTTTTTTCTTATCTGCGCCCGCTAAATTGTGTACGCGCATGTCAATTCATTGATCTTGCAGAGTGTGAAAAACTTTGGCCGCGAATTGGCCGCGCGGAATAAAACCGTGATTATTTCCAAAACGAGTTCGGTAAGGTACCCTGAAAATTTGTACATGAGTAGATACATACTTCAAGATTTCATGATGGAAAAATAAAAAAAAATTGTCGACAGAAACTGTCAAAAAAGTCGAAATTTAATTCTAAAGAATTGAGTCGACAGATTTTTTTTAAACTTCCCAGAAATGTTTCTCGACACTAACGTAACTGATTTATTTAAAAAAAAATTGGGGTCACCGAACTCATTTTCGAAAAAAACTCGAAAAACTGCGATATTTTCAGCTATTTAGTGCTACCATTATTCGTTATAGTTGTCGTGGAAACGCGACTTTTATCAGAATTCTTCTTGTTTGCGACACGTCTTACTATGTGTTACAATTATAAGTAAAACTTAACCCTGTAGAAGCATTTAAACAGAAAATATTCAACTTTTGCTCATTTGGCTAAAAAGTGTATTGAGCCACCTTAATTGTAGTACAGTGGGTTTTGTTGACTTGTGTTGTTGTGAGCTGCAGCGCCCGCGTCGGCGATAGAAATCGTCACAACGATTATTATAACTGGTTTTTGAACAACCGGCCTTAGCTCGTGTTCATGTAACAAAGGATACTCTTCTATTTATATAAGTCAAAAATCTGACAAAAAGTTGACAACCATACTAAAATATTGCATGCAGGTTTATGTCAAGTTAACAAGTAAATGGACTTGTGTCAAGTGTTAACACACTTCTGATTGGATTTAAAAGTAGTAATTAAGTTGGTATAGCTAACATTTTTTTTTCAAAATGATGTATACAATCTCAGACATTATTTAATGAACTAGCTTGCATATGCGCTTTCTATTTTCAGTCGTAACCTGTTGCAATATTTCGTAAGTTTCAGAAAGAATTTTCCAGAGATGAAGTTTTGGTTTGTAATTGTAGTTCGGTCAATCGCAGCTGGCATTCATTGTGACTGCGTTGAGTACAACGTACGCGTAAACTAATTTAAACTAGTACACACTAAAAAGGTAATGTGATTGCATGTACTGGCCCGTAGGGTACATGAACATCAAGTAAATATATCTGCATGCAAAGATATAAGTTTTGAGTTGTTTTGTTCTTATTTGCTGGAGTTATCATATACGCATAAATGTTTTTATCGATTTTTAGCGCTTCCATATTCTCGCAAGGCCACCGCCAATTAAATATATGTACAGTTAATTAAAAAAAGCCTGTCCTTTGCAAACCTTAAACTATATGAACCTTAAACTCTAAGCATAATGATTATTGATTAATGGGAGCATCATTTAATCAGTTTAGGAATCATAATGGGGCCCATTTCTTGGAGATCTAGACGTGGTAAATATCTAGTCCCTACGAGACAAATTCATTCACAAATAGCTCTAATATTAGCTTGAAACGTGTGCTCCCATTAAGCTTTGCGCGATTAGAGTTTAGATAATAGTTTAGATAATAGTAAAGATAATTTCCACTCCGTTCTGCGCATCAGTTCTGTTCTTAACAAAGGGGGACCATTAGACCATATAAACCCAAATTTTGCATCTTTCGAACTTTTTTGAATTGAAACGTAGAGTGTACTATATTCATTTACAAGCATAGCGATCCAGAAAAATGTTAGATATTCAGTTAGTATATCATATTTTACAAATATAGCAGTTCAAAACGTAAACAAAGTTCACGCATGCGCACAGGAGTGGAAAGAGTTTAAAGTTTCAGAGGACAACCCTTTTCGAATTGGCTGTATATAAAATGTCAAAATGCCTCAGTAGATATAGACGTATGTCTGTTTGCAATTGAGAATAATTACGCAAATGTATTGTAAACTCTAAATGCCGATTTACACAGAGGAGGTATAGATCGCTGACTCGGCTCGCGAGGCGTGACATTTTGAACAATCCAAGATGGCGGAACAAGCGGGCAAAAAAAAGCGCGGAAAATCTTTTTGCTACTAATTAAAAGGCAAATAGTTTTCTAGCGTTCTCAAGTTTACAGCAGTTTTTAAGAGCTTTAAAGCAGGCCTGTAGCTGAGGGG